GGGGTTCCCCGGGGGGGTTGGGGGTACCGGGAGGTTTCCTGGGGGGTTCCCGGGGGTTCTCGAAGGTTCCTGGGGGGTTCCCGGGGGGTTCTGGGTTCTTGAAGGTTCTCGAGGGGTCCTGGGGGTTCCCGGGGTTCTGGAAGGTTCCCGGTTGTTTTCCCGGGGGTTCCCGGGGGGTTCGAGGTTCTAGAATGTTCCCGGGAGCGCGGGGTTCCCGGTTGCTTTCCCGGTAGGGTTTTCGGGGGGTACCCGGTGGGTTCGGGGTTCCAGGGGGGTTCCCGAATGTTCCCAGGGGTTTTCTGGGGGGTTCCCGGTTGTTTTCCTGTGGGTTCCCGGGGAATTCGGGGTTCCCAGGGTTCCCGAAGGTTCCCGGGGGTTCCCGGTGTGTTCGGGGTCCTGGAAGGTTCCCGGGGGGTTCTGGAATGTTCCCAGGGGTTCCCGGTTGTTTTCCCGGGGGTTCCCGGTGGGTTCGGGATTCTAGAATGTTCCCGGGAGTTTGGGGTTCCCGGGGGTTCTCGAATGTTCTGGAACGTTCCCGGGGGTGTTCCCGGTGTGTTCCGGGTTCCCGGGGGTTCCCGGTGGGTTCGGGATTCTAGAATGTTCCCGGGACTTTGGGGTTCCTGGGGGTTCCCGAACGTTCTCGAACGTTCCCGGGGGTGTTCCCGCTGTGTTCCGGGTTCCCGGGGGTTCCCGAACGTTCCCGGGGGTGTTCCCGCTGTGTTCCGGGCTCCCGAACGTTCTCGAACGTTCCCGTCGTTTTCCCGCGCTTCCCCGCCACCCGCGGGTGGGCGGAGCCTCCCCGCGCACAGACCCCGCCCCCTCCTCCTCATTGGCCGGCCCTCCCCTTACGCCCCGCCCACCAGCCCCCGCCCATCCACCTGTCACTCATAGCCGCCCCACCACTCCCATTGGTCGACAGCAGAGGGAGGGGCGGGACTTTCCCCCCGCGCGGCGCTTCCGCTTCCGGCCGGGCGCCTCGGTCGCTCTCCGGTAACTTCCGGCCGCCGCCGCCTCCCCGGGCCCGCACCGAGCGGCCCCCCCGTTTTTCCCCATTTTTTCCCCGTTTTTCCCCATTCTCCCCCGTTTTTCTCACTTTCCCCCCGTTTTCCCCTCCCCCATTCCCAGAGGCTGGAGCGCTGCGTTGCCGTGGTCTCCTCGCTGACCAGCGGGCTCTCGGAGCGCGAGGCCAACGACGCGCTCAACGCCCACGTGAGTGCGGGCTGGGAAATGGGAGTTACACATGGAAAATGGGAATTACACACGGGAAAATGGGAATTATCCATGGGAAAATGGGAATTACACACGGGAAATGGGAATTATCCATGGGAAAATGGGAATTATCCATGGGAAAATGGGAATTACACACGGGAAATGGGAATTATCCATGGGAAAATGGGAATTATCCATGGGAAAATGGGAATTACACATGGGAAAATGGGAATTAGCCATGGGAAAATGGGAATTATCCATGGAAAAATGGGAATTATCCATGGGAAAATGGGAATTATCCATGGGAAAATGGGAATTATCCATGGGAAACTGGGAATTATCCATGGGAAACTGGGAATTACCCACGGGAAAATGGGAATTATCCATGGGAAAATGGGAATTATCCATGGGAAAATGGGAGTTACACATGGGAAAATGGGAATTACACATGGAAAATGGGAATTATCCATGGGAAAATGGGAATTACCCACAGGAAACTGGGAATTCACTGCTAAAAATGGGAATTCACTCTGGAAAACTGGGGATTCCCAATGGGAAATGGGAATTCACTGCTAAAAATGGGGATTTACTCTGGAAAACTGGGAATTCCTGCTGGGAAACAGGGGATTGCCAATGGGAAATGGGAATTCCTGTGGAAAAATGGGAATTCACTCTGGAGAACTGGGAATTCCCTGCTGGGAAATGGGAATTTCTTCCTGGAAATGGCAATTCCCTCCTGGAAACTGGAAATCCTGGGATTTGTGGGTCCTGGATGGGCTCTGAGGAGCTGGGAGCGGGGATTGGGATTTGGGGATTGGGAATGGGGATTGGGAATGGGGATTTGGGAATTGGGATTTGGGAAATGGGAATTATCCATGGGAAAATGGGAGTTACACATGGGAAAATGGGAATTACACATGGAAAATGGGAATTACACATGGAAAATGGGAATTATCCATGGGAAAATGGGAATTACCCACAGGAAACTGGGAATTCACTGCTAAAAATGGGAATTCACTCTGGAAAACTGGGGATTCCTGCTGGGAAATGGGGATTCCTGTGGAAAACTGGGAATTCCCAATGGGAAACAGGGGATTGCCAATGGGAAATGGGAATTCCTGTGGAAAAATGGGAATTCACTCTGGAGAACTGGGAATTCCCTGCTGGGAAATGGGAATTTCTTCCTGGAAATGGCAATTCCCTCCTGGAAACTGGAAATCCTGGGATTTGTGGGTCCTGGATGGGCTCTGAGGAGCTGGGAGCGGGGATTGGGATTTGGGGATTGGGAATGGGGATTTGGGAATGGGGATTTGGGAACTGGGAGTGGAGCTGGAGCTCCCCCCCTCGGGAGTGGCAGGGCCAAATTCCAGTTCATGGAATTTCCCAGGAAATTCCAATTTCTCCATCCCCGCTTTATTCCTTATTCCCAATTAAAAACAGGGGAGCAGGGCTCTGAAATTCCCATAAAATTCCATAAAATTCCCACATCAGGGCCAGCAAAGCCCCTGGATGGCTCCTGGGGGATTTTCTGCACCTAAACCAGCCCTGGGATGTCCCAGATTCCCGGGATTTGGGGTTTTTTTCCTTCCCCCCTCCAATCCCGGCTGGAATTCACCTGGATTTTGGGAATTGCCCCCCAGATCTGCAAAGGGACCCCCCAGCACGAGGAGATCTGCCTGGGGCTCTTCACCCTGGTCCTCACTGAGCCGGCCCAGGCACAGAAGGTGAGGAGACCTGGCAAAAGGGAGGGAATTTGGGGAATTTTGGGAATTATTCCCTGATTGGGGAGCCCTGACCCGTGGAACGTTCCGGAACGAGCGCTCAGCCTCGCTCCCATCCCAGCAATCCCTGGGGTTTGGCCCTGCCAGGCAGATCAGGTTTTTCCCAAGGGTTTTTCCCGTTTTTTCCCTCGCCTGGGTGGGATTTTCCTGCATGGATTCCCTGGAGTTGCTGGCCTGGGGCAGGAGCCTGCCCAGCTCCCGGGGAAAACGGATTCCCAGCGAATTCCCACCCCTGGAGCACGTCCAGAGTCACCTCGTGGAATTTTTCCTGGGAATCTGATTTTTCCTTGGACTGTTGGCCCCCCTGAGCATTCCCAAATCTTTCCCTGGAGGGGCTGGATCCCTCCAGGATCCCTTTCCTGAGGCAGGGAAAGCTTTTCCTGCTTTTCCATGGAATTTCCCCTCCAGGAGCTGCTCCCACACCTGGGATCCCCAATCCCTGAGGATCCCAAATTTCTGGGATCCCCAATCCCCGGGATTCCAATCCTGGGATTCCAATGCTGGAATCCCCAAATCCTGGGGATCCCAAATTTCTGGGATTCCAATCCTGGGATTCCCAATTTCTGGGATTCCAATTCCTGGGGATCCCAAATTCCTGGAATCCCCATTTTCTGGGGATCCCAAATTTCTGGGATTCCAATTCTGGGATTCCAATGCTGGAATCCCCAAATCCTGGGGATCCCAAATTTCTGGGATTCCAATCCTGGAATCTCCAGTTCCTGGGAATTCCCAATTCCTGGAGTCCCCAATCCCTGGGATCCTCAGTTCCTGGGGATCCCAAATTTCTGGGATTCCAATCCTGGAAGCAAAGCCTGGCAGGATCCCATCCCACTTTTGGGGATCCTGGCACGTAATTCCCCTGGAATTTTCCCTGGGATGTTCCCCTGGAGCAGGGAGGTTCCCTGGCCAGGGTCCTGCTGTGGCTGCTCCCAGAGCTCGTTAATTGCAATCATTGCGCTAATTGGATCTGGCTGGAGCCGGGCAGGGATTCCTGATTCCTGCTGGGATTTGGGGTGGGCTTAACCCCTTCCTGCCCAGCAGGGTCTGCTGGGCCAGGAAAGGCCAAATTCCCAAAATCTGCCCCAAAACCTGCCTGGGGACCCCAAAATCTGCCCCTAAACCTGCCCGGGGACCCTTCCAGGACCCCAAAATCTGCCCCAGGGACCCTTCCAGGACCCCAAAATCTGCCCCAGGGACCCCCTAAGCTGCCCCAAACTCTTTCAGGACCCCAAAATCTGCCCCAGAGGCCCCAAATCTGCCCCAGGAACCCCTCCAGGACCTCAGAATCTGCCCCAGGAACCCCAAAATCTGCCCTAGGGACCCTTCCAGGACCCTAAAATCTGCCCCAAAATCTGCCCAGGGACCCCCAGACTCTTTCAGGACCCCAAAATCTGCCCCAGAGACCCCTCCAGAACGCCAAATCTGCCCCAGTGACCCCCAAAGCTGCCCCAAACTCTTTCAGGACCCCAAAATCTGCCCCAGGGACCCTTCCAGGACCCCAAAATCTGCCCCAGGGACCCCCAGAGCTGCCCACCCCCCCTCAGTGTCCCCAGCTGGCTCCAGCTGCCCTCTGCTCCTCCTCCTCCTCTTCCTCCCGCTGTAATTAATTAGTGGCAGGCTGTCCCTGCCCCCCTGGCCCCTCGTTTGAAGCCTCCATTAATCACTGCAGCGTTAATTAACCAGCCAGGCCCCGGCTGGGCTGTGTCAGCCTGGCAGGAACGGAGGAATTCCGGGAATTTTCCCTCTCCTGGTGGCATTTTCACAGCCCTGGGGGGGCTCATTCCCATTTTTTCCGGGGTTTCCCTGTGGATCTGAGGGGAGGGGCTGCCAGGGAATGGGGTTGGGATTTTCTGGAGCTTTCCCAGCCAGGAGAAATCCCGCAGGGCCCTTCCTCCCGGGCTGGTTTCCCCCAAATCCGTGGGGTTTCCATCCCTTGCAGCTCAGGGATGTGGTTCCCACTCTGCTTTTCCCATTTTTCCCATTTTCCCCCCCAGTGCTACCGGGACCTGGCGCTGGTGAGCCGGGACGGGATGAACATCGTGCTCAACAAGATCAACCACATCCTCATGGAGAAGTACCTGAAGCTGCAGGACACCTGCAGGACCCAGGTGGGGCTCCTGGGATCTCCTGTCCCACCCAAAATCTCCTGTCCCACCTGGGGTCTTGTGTCCTAGCCAGAATTTTCCTGCCCCACCTGGGATCTCCTGTCCCACCTGGAATCTCGTGTCCTACCTGGAATCTCCTGACCCACCTGGAATCTTGTGTCCTACCCAGAATTTCCCGTCCCACCTGGAATTTCCTGTCACCCCGGCAGGGGATGAGCAGAGGGGAGCAGGGAGGGATGGGGTCATGGGGGTCATTTTTGGTCATCCCAAATCTCCCTGTGCAGTTGGTGTGGGGGTCTCTAATCCCAAATTTCCATGTGCAGTTGGTGTGGGGGTCTCTAATCCCAAATTTCCATGTGCAGCTCGTGTGGCTGCTGCGGGAGCTGGTGAAGAGCGGCGTGCTGGGAGCTGATGGGGTCTGCATGACCTTCATGAAGCAGATTGCAGGTGAGCTGGGAATGCTGGGAATGGCTGGGAATGTTTGGGGTCTGAGCTGGGAATGCTCAGGATCTGATTCTGTGGGGAGCCTCCCTGGGATGGGAGCAGGCAGTGGCCAAATCCCACTGCTCCATCCAGCTGCAAATCCATCCAAATCCAAATCCCAGTGTTCCATCCAAATCCCAGTGCTCCATCCAAATCCCTCTGCTCTCTCCAAATCCCACTGCTCCATCCAGCTGCAATTCCCTCTGCTCCATCCAAATCCAAATCCCAGTGCTCCACCATCATCCCAGTGTTCCATCCAAATCCAAATCCCAGTGTTCCATCCAAATCCCACTGCTCCATCCAGCTGCAATTCCCTCTGCTCCATCCAAGCCCCCGTGCCACATCCAGCTGTTTTGTTTCTCCTGGGGCTCTTCCAGGTGGGGACGTGACTGCCAAGAACATCTGGCTGGCTCCAAATCCCACTGCTCCATCCAGCTGCAATTCCCTCTGCTCCATCCAAATCCAAATCCCAGTGCTCCATCCAGCTGCAATTCCCTCTGCTCCATCCAAATCCAAATCCCAGTGCTCCATCCAAATCCCATTGCTCCATACAAATCCAATTCCCTCTGCTCCATCCAAACCCCTCTGCTCCATCCAAGCCCCCGTGCCACATCCAGCTGTTTTGTTTCTCCTGGGGCTCTTCCAGGTGGGGACGTGACTGCCAAGAACATCTGGCTGGCCGAGAACGTTCTGGAGATCCTGACAGAGCAAAGGTACCCCCGGGACCCCCCCAGCCCCGTTCCTGCCCTTCCCACGTTCCCAATGCAGGAATTCCCAGCACTTTGAGCTCCCAGGGCTGAGGAGCAGGCGTGGCTGGGGCCCAGCATCCCGGGAATGTTTCCTTCCTGAGCGCTGGGGGAGCTTTTCCTCTGGGAGCAGTGGCCTGCAGTTGATTGCCCCAAAAGTTTCCTGTGCTGGGGCAGCTCCTGCTCCAGGCTGGGCCATCTGGGAAGCTCGTCTGTCCTGGATCCACGGAATTCCTGGCTGGGAATTGCCTAGCAGGGAATGAAGCAGGGAATTCCCTAAAATCCGGGATTGCCCCAGCCTTTACCCAGCTGGATTTGTCCTGGGGTTGCTGTTGCTGGCATCCAGAGCCAGCAGGAGCCGCCTGAGCTGCATTTTCCTGTGGTTGTCCATTCCGTGTCCATCACCAGTGTGTTCATCAATCAATATCTGTATCATTTAGAATTTTAATTGTTTATTATCTTTATTTATTTTTATTTTATTACATTTATTTTTTAATACATGCTTTTATTTATTAGTACATGTTTATTAATAGATGTTAATTAATGCAGTTATTAATTGACACCTTTGCTGCTGCCCTGGGTGCCGGTTCCAGTCCCCCTTTCCCTCTGCCCCGTTCCCTCTGCCCCGTTCCCGGTGTTCCCACCCCTCAATCCCACAAAGATATCATTTAATGTCTTTATTAATTGACACATTCCCCAGTTAACACATTAATTAATTAATTAATTAATTATTCAATCACCTTTGCTGCTGCCCTGGGTGCCGGTTCCAGCCCCCCTTTCCCTCTGCCCCGTCCCTGACCCCACAGCACTCCCCGGGCTCCCCTCCCCGGGGCAGTGCTGATTTGGGGCGGATTTGGGGCATTTGGGCTTGCAGGGAGTGGGTGCTGAAGAGCAGCCTGCTGGTGGCCATGGCTGTGTACACCTACCTGCGCCTCATCGTGGACCACCACGGCACGGCCGCGCTGCAGGCGCTGCGCCAGAAGGAGGTGGAGTTCTGCGTGTCCCTGCTCAGGGAGAGGGTGAGTGCTGGGATTGGGATTGGGATTGGGATTGGAGTTCTGCGTGTCCCTGCTCAGGGAGAGGGTGAGTGCTGGGGTGGGATTGGGATTGGGATTGGGGTGGAATTGGGGTGGGATTGGAGTTCTGCGTGTCCCTGCTCAGGGAGAGGGTGAGTGCTGGGGTGGGATTGGGATTGGGATTGGGGTGGAATTGGGGTGGGATTGGAGTTCTGCGTGTCCCTGCTCAGGGAGAGGGTGAGTGCTGGGGTGGGATTGGGATTGGGATCCTGCATCTCCCTGCTCCAGGAGCAGGGCAGTGGGTTGGGATGGGATCCTGTTCCCCTGGAGGGGCAGTTTGGGATGGGGCACTCCAGGCCTGGGATTTCTCCCAAATCCCTGAGCTGGGATTTCTCCCAGAGCTGGGATTCATCCCACACCCCAGGGCTGGGATTTCTCCCAGACCCCAGAGCTGGGATTCATCCCACACCCCAGAGCTGGGATTCATCCCACACCCCAGAGCCAGGATTCATCCCACACCCCAGAGCCGGGATTCATCCCAAACGGGTTGGGATGGGATCCTGTTCCCCTGGAGGGGCAGTTTGGGATGGGGCACTCCAGGCCTGGGATTTCTCCCAAATCCCTGAGCTGGGATTCATCCCACACCCCAGAGCCGGGATTCATCCCAAACCCCAGGGCTGGGATTCATCCCACACCCCAGGGCTGGGATTCATCCCAATCCCCAGAGCTGGGATTCATCCCACACCCCAGAGCCAGGATTCATCCCAAATCCCTCTCCCCACCCTCCCCTGCTCCCGGCCCCGCCGGGCCCGGCTGTGGGGCCTGGCTGCTCCCCTGGAGGGGCAGTTTGGGATGGGGCACTCCAGGCCTGGGATTTCTCCCAAATCCCTGAGCTGGGATTCATCCCACACCCCAGAGCCGGGATTCATCCCAAACCCCAGGGCTGGGATTCATCCCAAATCCCCCTCCCCACCCTCCCCTGCTCCCGGCCCCGCCGGCCTGGCTGTGGGGCCTGGCTGCAGCCCTGGGGGAAAGTGGCAGATTTATGGGCTGAGTGTTTGCTCTGGGAGGGAGAACATTCCAGAACAGCTCCGGCCCTCCCTGCCCGTGCCCCCATCCCAACCTGTGCCAGGGAACGGAGCGGAACGTGCCCGGGAGGGGGAGGAGGAGGAGGAGGAGTTCCTCCCTGCCCTGCCCCCATCCCCCTGCTCTCAGCGGGATTTTTCCCCTTTTTACAGTTTATGGATTGTTTCATGGAATTTTCCCCCTCCCTTTTCCTAGTTCTTGGGTTGTTTCATGGGGGTTTAATGGGATTTTTTTCCCAGTTCATGGCTCATTTAATGGGATTTTCCCCTTTCCCAGTTCATGGACTGTTTCATGGGTTATTTAATGGGATTTTTCCCCCTTTCCCAGTTCATGGGCTGTTTCATGGCTCATTCAATGGGATTTTCCCCTTTCCCAGTTCATGGACTGTTTCATGGGTTATTTCATGGGATTTTTCTGCAGTTTATGGATAATTCAATGGGCTTTCCCCCTTTCCCAGTTCATGGACTGCTTCATGATCGGCCGGGACCTGGTGCGCCTGCTGCAGAACGTGGCGCGCATCCCGGAGTTCGAGCAGCTCTGGAAGGACATCCTGCACAACCCGCAGGTGCTCAGCTCCCAGTTCACAGGTACCAGCCTGCAGCACTCCCAGCCCCCTTTTCCAGGGGTTTCCAGAGGCCTGTCCCATCCCAGAAAACCCCATGGGATCCCCAAACGGTGCTGCTCCCTCTGGGCTCTGCACTTCCCTGCTTTCTCCTGCCTGGAGTTGTTCCAGGCTGGGTTGGAACAGCCTGATCCAGTGGGAATTGTCCCTGTGGTGGGCTGGGTGATCTCTGGGTGATTCCAGCCCAAACCAGTGTGCAATTGCAGGATAATCAGAGTGACTTCCCTTAATTAAGTGATTTAAAAGGTGAGCCCGAGCTCTGACGTGACTGAGCGGAGCCTGGAGGGGCTCCATAAAAAGCAGGAATTCCAGGAGCTGCAGCAAGTGGCACTTGCCTGGGATTTAATTCCTCCCAGTAGCCTCATTCCATGGGAAGAGTGATGGATTCACCAGCTTTGTTTGCATCAATGATATTCCCATAAATTGTTCCCTTCTCTGGGCACTTCCCAGCAGGTTCTGGACGCAGCAATTCCAGGGAAATGGGGCTTTGAAGTGTTCCCACCCCTTTGGATCCCGCTTAAATCCATCCTAAACCCCTCAGCTGCTGCTCAGGGAATTCCTCAGGGTGTGTCTGGGCCCTTTTCCACCCAAATTCCCATTCCCTGCCCAGGTGTGCTGCAGCTCCTGCAGTCCAGGACCTCCCGCAAGTTCCTGGCGTGCCGCCTGACCCCCGACATGGAGACCAAGCTGCTCTTCATGACCTCGCGGGTAATCCCTGGGCTCCCAAATCCCCTGGGCTCCAAATCCCCTGGGCTCCAAATCCCCCCGGGCTCCCAAATCCCCCCGGGCTCCCAAATCCCCCTAGGTTCCCTCCCAAATCCCCCTAGGTTCCCTCCCAAATCCCCCCAGGCTCCCAAACCCACCCTGGGCTCCCAAATCCCCCCGGGCTCCCAAATTCCCCCTGGGTTCCCAAATCCCCCCTGGGTTCCTTCCCAAATCCCCCCTTGGTTCCCTCCCAAATTCCCCCTGATTTCCAAATTCCATCTGGGTTCCTTCCCCAATTTCCCTGGGTTCCCAAATCCCCCCGGGCTCCCAAATTCCCCATGGATTCCCTCCCAAATCCCCCCTAGCTCAGGGTCCTGTGTGTTCCCACTGCCAGCCCTGTCCAGTGGCCCCATTTCCAGCTGTGTCCCAAGTCCCCAGCTGTGTCCCATGTCCTGTCCCTGTCCCGTGTCTGTCCCATGTCCCCAGCCGTGTCCCATGTCCCTGTCCCATGTCCCCAGCCGTGTCCCATGTCCTGTCCCTGTCCCCAGGTGCGCTTTGGGCAGCAGAAGCGCTACCAGGACTGGTTCCAGAGGCAGTATCCTGTCCCTGTCCCCAGGTGCGCTTTGGGCAGCAGAAGCGCTACCAGGACTGGTTCCAGAGGCAGTACCTGTCCACCCCCGACAGCCAGTCCCTGCGCTGTGACCTGATCCGCTACATCTGCGGCGTGGTGCACCCGTCCAACGAGGTGCTGAGCTCGGACATCCTGCCCCGCTGGGCCATCATCGGCTGGCTGCTCACCACCTGCACGGTCAGGGCCCCCGAGGGGCACGGGGTGGGCTGGGGGAGCCAAAAATGGGCACAGGGTGGGCTGGGGGAGCCAAAAATGGGCTGGGGGAGCCAAAAATGGGCATGGGATGGGTTAGGAGAGCCTGAAATGGGCACAGGATGGGCTGGAGGAGCACAAAAACGGGCACAGGGTGGGCTGGGGGAGGCCAAAATTGGGCAAAGGTGGGCTGGGGGAGCCTGAAATGGGCATGGAATGGGTTGGGAGAACCCAAAAATGGGTCAGAGTGGACTGGGGGAGCCAGAAATGGGCACAGGATGAGCTGGGGGAGCCAAAAATGGGCTGGGGGAGCAAAAAATGGGCACAGGATGGGCTGGCGGAGCCCAAAATGGGCACAGGGTGGGCTGGGGGAGCCTGAAATGGGCATGGAATGGGTTGGGAGAACCCAAAAATGGGTCAGAGTGGACTGGGGGAGCCAGAAATGGGCACAGGATGGGCTGGGAGAGCACAAAATGGGCAGGGATGGGTTAGGAGAGCCTGAAACGGGCACAGGATGGGCTGGGGGAGCACAAAAATGGGCTGGGGTGGGCTAGGGGAGCACAAAAATGGGCTGGGGGAGCCAAAAATGGGCATGGGATGGGTTAGGAGAGCCTGAAATGGGCACAGGATGGGCTGGGGGAGCCAAAAATGGGCATGGGATGGGTTAGGAGAGCCTGAAACGGGCACAGGATGGGCTGGGGGAGCACAAAAATGGGCATGGGTGGGCTGGGAGAGGGGAAAGCCCAAAAATGGGGCACGGGAATGGGAACAGCCCAAAAACAGGAGCAGGAACATCCCAAAAACGGGGCACAGGATGGGCTGGGAATGGGAACATCCCAAAAACTGGGCACAGGATGAGCTGGGAGCAGCTGATCCCGACAGCGGGGAGAGCAGCACCTTAGGGATGTGAAGAGGAAGGATTTTGGAGGATTTGGGGTGGCTCTTGGAGCTTTCCCAGCACTGAGTTTGGCCATGGGGGGATCTCAGGAGGTTCTTGGAGGGATCCCAAGGAATCTGGAGGGATCTCAGCGTTGTCCTCATGGAATAATTTGGGGTTTTTGGGTCTCCTGCAGTCAAACGTCGCTGCCTCCAACGCCAAGCTGGCGCTGTTCTACGACTGGCTGTTCTTCAACCCCGAGAAGGACAGCATCATGAACATCGGTGAGCGGGCTGGGGGGGCCTGGGGGGGATCCTGGGGTGGGATCCGTGGGGATCTGCCTTGGGATGGGATCCTGGGCCGATCCTGGGCTGGGATCCACCTTGGGATGGGATCCTGGGATGGGATTCATGGGCTGGGATCTGCCTTGGGATCCTGGGGTGGGATCCATGGGGATCTGCCTTGGTTTGGGATCCATGGGACATTCCTGGGATGGGATCATGGCAATTCCTGGGATGGGATCCTGGCAGTTCTTGGGATGGATCCATGCGGATCCACCTTGGTTTGGGATTCTGGGCTGTTCCTGGCGTGGGATCTGTGGGATGTTCCTGGGATGGGATCCATGGGGATCTGCCTTGGTTTGGGATCCATGGGATATTCCTGGGATGGGATCATGGCAGTTCTTGGGATGGATCCATGGGGATCCACCTTGGTTTGGGATTCTGGGCTGTTCCTGGCGTGGGATCTGTGGGATGTTCCTGGGATGGGATCATGGCAGCTCCTGGGATGGGATCCATGGGGATCTGCTTTGGTTTGGGATTCTGGGCTGTTCCTGGGATGGAATCCTGGCAGTTCCCGGGATGGGATCCATGGGGATCCACCTTGGTTTGGGATCCTGGGGTGGGATATGGGATCACTGTGACCCAGGGCAGCCCTGGACCCCGCTGCCCCTCAGCCCCTGCATCCCCCCCATGGATCCCTTGGATCCAGCCTGTCCCAGCCCCCCGGGAGCCCCCCGGGAGCCCCCCAGGGGCAGAGCTCTGGGCTCTGGGGGGCTCACCCCCTTCCCCCCCAGAGCCTGCCATCCTGGTCATGCACCACTCCATGAAGCCCCACCCGGCCATCACGGCCACGCTGCTGGACTTCATGTGCCGGGTGAGCATCCCCCCCTGCAGGGCATTCCCAGGGGAAGCTGGGAGAGAACTCCACAAATCCCACCCCGAAAAACTCCCCTGGGATCCCCCCCCAGTTCCGGAGCCCCCTGAACCTCCCTCAGGAGGGAGGGATTTTCCCTTTGCTCCCAAATTCTCCCCGGCTCTTGGTGGGAGGAATCCAGAGCATTCCTGGAGTTTGGGATCCATGTGTCATCCATTAGTGGTGGGAAGGCAGCACTGCCAGCAAACCCTGCCTGTGGTGGAGGACAAAGCTTCTGGATTGTTCCCTGGTGGAATTCCTGGCCATGGGGGGGTTCAGAGTGTCAGGGGACGATCCAGAATGATTGGGATTCTGGGCTGTTCCTGGCGTGGGATCTGTGGGATGTTCCTGGGATGGGATCATGGCAGCTCCTGGGATGGGATCCATGGGGATCTGCTTTGGTTTGGGATCCATGGGATGTTCTTGGGATGGAATCCTGGCAGTTCCTGGGGTGGGATCTGTGGGGATCCACCTTGGTTTGGAATCCATGGGATGTTCTTGGGATGGAATCCTGGCAGTTCCCGGGATGGGATCCATGGGGATCCACCTTGGTTTGGGATCCTGGGGTGGGATATGGGATCACTGTGACCCAGGGCAGCCCTGGACCCCGCTGCCCCTCAGCCCCTGCATCCCCCCATGGATCCCTTGGATCCAGCCTGTCCCAGCCCCCCGGGAGCCCCCCGGGAGCCCCCCAGGGGCAGAGCTCTGGGCTCTGGGGGGCTCACCCCCTTCCCCCCCAGAGCCTGCCATCCTGGTCATGCACCACTCCATGAAGCCCCACCCGGCCATCACGGCCACGCTGCTGGACTTCATGTGCCGGGTGAGCATCCCCCCCTGCAGGGCATTCCCAGGGGAAGCTGGGAGAGAACTCCACAAATCCCACCCCGAAAAACTCCCCTGGGATCCCCCCCCAGTTCCGGAGCCCCCTGAACCTCCCTCAGGAGGGAGGGATTTTCCCTTTGCTCCCAAATTCTCCCCGGCTCTTGGTGGGAGGAATCCAGAGCATTCCTGGAGTTTGGGATCCATGTGTCATCCATTAGTGGTGGGAAGGCAGCACTGCCAGCAAACCCTGCCTGTGGTGGAGGACAAAGCTTCTGGATTGTTCCCTGGTGGAATTCCTGGCCATGGGGGGGTTCAGAGTGTCAGGGGACGATCCAGAATGATCCCAGGCTGGGAAAGCAATGCCAGGAGCTGCTGGTTCCAGGAATTGTGGGGCTGGGGGCGTTCCTGGGAAGGACAAAGCTTCTGGATTGTTCCCTGGTGGAATTCCCGGCCCAGCCCCGTCCCTGGGGGGGATCAGAGTGTCAGGGGATGATCCAGAATGATCCCTGTCCCATCCCAGGCTGGGAAAGCAATGCCAGGAGCTGCTGGTTCCAGGAATTGTGGGGCTGGGGGCGTTCCTGGGAAGGGCTGGAGCTGCATCCCTCCCTCCCAGTCCAAACTGGGGGAAGGTTCCCGGGGTGTCCCAGCTCCAGGGAGGAATCCCAGCCCTCCCTGCAAGGCTTGGACAGAGCCAGTTCCATCGTAGGCTGGGAAAGCAATGCCAGGAGCTGCTGGTTCCAGGAATTGTGGGGCTGGGGGCGTTCCTGGGAAGGGCTGGAGCTGCATCCCTCCCTCCCAGTCCAAACTGGGGAAGGTTCCCGGGGTGTCCCAGCTCCAGGGAGGAATCCCAGCCCTCCCTGCAAGGCTTGGACAGAGCCAGGCACTCGGAGCTCTGCTCCCCCAGCCCTGGAGCCTGGAATTTCCTGCCCTGGCAGGGATTTCCTCGGGTTTGCAGGGCCCTAACCCCGCTCTCCCCACCCCGATCTCTTCCAGATCATTCCCAATTTCTACCCCCCTCTGGAAGCCCACGTCCGCCAGGGCGTCTTCAACTCCCTCACCCACATCGTGGAGAAGCGAGTCCTGGCGTAAGAGCCCTGGGTTTTTCCCACTTTTCCTGAATTTCCTGGGTCTCTCCTGCAGCTCTGAGCCCCCGCTGCTCTCCACGACACCTTGGGAGCAGCCAGGATCATCCTGGGGGCTGTCCTGCCCAGGGAATTGGGATTTCCCAGGAATTCCAGCCCCTTCTCCCGCTCCTGGTGGCACAGGAGGGGGTCCCAGGTGACAACCGCAGCATTCCAGGGGGTGAGGCCCCATCCCTGATCCCTGTCCTGTCCCACGCAGGCACCTGGCCCCGCTCTTCGACAACCCCAAGCTGGACAAGGAGCTCCGGGCCATGCTCAGGGAGAAATTCCCGGAATTCTGCAGCTCCCCCTCGCCCCCCATCGAAGGTAGGGGCTGGGGGGCTCCTGGCACATCCCCCTGAGGGAGTTTTCCATGGAATTCCTCCAGGGATGGGTCGGGCGAGGCTCCAGGCAGAGCAGGGTTGGGATTTTACGGAATGAAACTTTTTTCATAAATGTTCCCATTCCCAGCCCGTCCCGTGCCCCATTTTTGGGATGATTTTTGGGATGATTTTTGGGATTCCCAGAATTCTGCAGCTCCCCCTTGCCCCCCATCGAAGGTAGGGGCTGGGGGGGCTCCTGGCACATCCCCCTGGGGGAGTTTTCCGTGGAATTCTTCCATGGATGCCTCCAGGCAGAGCAGGGCTGGGATTTTACGGAGTGAAACTTTCATTACTGTTCCCATTCCCATCCCGTGCCCCGTTTTTGGGATGGTTTTTGGGATTTAGGGAATTCTGCAGCTCCCCCTTGCCCCCCATTGAAGGTAAGGGCTGGAGGGGCTCCTGGCAGATCCCCCTGGGGGAGTTTTCCGTGGAATTCCTCCAGGGATGCCTCCAGGCAGAGCAGGGTTGGGATTTTACTGGGAATGAAACCTTTCATCAATGTTCCCATTCCCAGTCCATCCCTGCCCCGTTTTTGGGATGATTTTTGGGGTTTAGGGAGCTGTGGGTGCTCCAGTGCCCCCCTTTTCATCAATGTTCCCATTCCCAGTCCATGCCTGCCCCGTTTTTGGGATGATTTTTGGGATGATTTTTGGGGTTTAGGGAGCTGTGGGTGCTCCAGTGCCCCCCATGCCCCACGGGGTCCCTTCCCAAAGCACGTGCAGCCCTGTCCCGGGGCTGTTTCTTGGGAGAGGCCCTGGCAGAGGCCTCACCGGGCTGGGTGCTTGGTGGTGCCAGTGAAAATCGAGGAGCCGGTTGCCATGGAGATGGAGAATCACCTGGAGAAGGATGACGGTTGCTATGACAACGCCGAGGCCGCCTTCAGCGACGATGAGGAGGAGCTGAGCAGCAAAGGTGAGGAAGCTCCTGGGATTCCCCAGGGACAGCCAGGCCCCGCCAGGCTGCAGAATTCCCTGAGCTCCTCGGCCTGGGGCCGATCCCGCCCGGGGATCCCGGATTTCCTCCTGCAGGAGGAGCTGATCCCAGCTCCGGCGGGGTTTGTTCCCTTTCCTGGCTGTTCCCAGGAGCTCAGAGCACTTTGCCAGCCCCAGATCCCCTCTGCTCCCCCTCTGGAGCCATTCCCAGCCTCGCTGCTCGGGTCCCTGTGGGATTCCTGCTGTTCCAGGGGGGTTTTCCCAGCAGTGGGATGGGGCAGAGGATGTGGCCTGGGAGCCCCAGAATCCCAATCCCAAATTGTGCCTCCTTGGAGACGCCTTGGGAATGTTGGAGGGTCAGGTTTGGGAAGGGGACTGAGCAGGGACCACATTCCCACCTTTATCCCAAATCCCTGGAGCCTCCAAGGGGGGAAGGATCCAGGACAGGAGGCAAATCCCTCAGTGCCCCGGGGCCTGCCTGGTTTCAGGGAAGAAGAGGGAGTTCAGGTTCCACCCCATCAAGGAATCCATCGTGGAGGAGCCCGTGGACATCACCCCCTTCCTGGAGCAGCTGGACGAGTCCCTGAAGGACAAAGTGCTGCAGCTGCAGAAGGGCAGGTGGGGCCATTCCCAATCCCATTCCCAATCCCAATCCCGTGGGTCTCCCCAGAGCTCCCCCAGCCCCCTGGAGAGGGAACTCCTGCAGGGAAAGGGCTTGGGAAGGAGAGCCCAGGGGAGGCTGAGCAGAGCCCAGGGAATTCTGGCTCTGAGTGCCCTTCACATCCTGCTTTAATCCTGGAATTCATCCACACACCCGGGCTGACCCGACCCCATCCCGAGCGGCCCTCCCAGTGCTCCCAGTGCCCCCAGTAACGGGATCCCTGTCCCTGTGCTGTGCAGCGACACGGAGGCGCAGTGCGAGGTCATGCAGGAGATCGTGGATCAGGTCCTGGAGGTAACGGGGCCGGGATCTGTCCTGGGATCTGTCCTGGGATCTGGGATCTGTCCTGGATGGGATCAGGGATCTGTCCTGGGATCTGGGATCTGTCCTGGATGGGATCAGGGATCTGTCCTGGGATCTGTGGGATATGTCCTGGGATCTGTCCTGGCTGGGATCTGGGATCTGTCCTGGGATCTGCTCTGGGCAGGATCTGGGATCCATTGGGGTGGGGGGTGGTGGATCTGGGATCTGTCCTGGATGGGATCAGGGATCTGTCCTGGGATCTGGGATCTGTCCTGGCTGGGATCTGGGATCTGTCCTGGTCAAGACCTGGGATCTGTCCTGGCTGGGATCAGGGATCTGCCCTGGGCAGGATCTGGGATCCATTGGGGTGGGGGGTGGTGGATCTGGGATCTGTCCTGGGCAGGATTTGGGATCCATCGTGGGCGGGATTCAGGATCCATCCTGGCTGGGTTTGGGATCCCCGGCTCTGGAAACGCGTCCAGAGCAGCCTGGGATCCATTCCCTTGCCCCTCCCCGTGCCAGGCAGGCTCTGTGTCCCCCCGTGTCCCCCCCATGTCACTCCCTGAGCTCCCCGTGTCCCTGTCCCCGAGCCCCCCGTGCCCCATGTCCATCCTGGCTGGGTTTGGGATCCCCGGCTCTGGAAACGCGTCCAGAGCAGCCTGGGATCTGTTCCTGTGTCCCTCCCTGTGCCAGGCAGGCTCTGTGTCCCTCCCGTGTCCCCATGCCTGAGCCCTTCCCGTGTCCCCCTCGTGTCCCCTCCGTGTCCCCCGTGTCACTCTCTGAGCCCCCCATGTCCCCCCGTGTCCCCCCGTGTCCCCTCCCGTGTCCCCATCCCTGAGCCCCTCCCGTGTCCCCCCGTGTCCCCCCGTGTCCCCGTGCCTGAGCCGGCCTGGCCCCACCCTCCTGGGGCTCCTCCCACAAGCCTGGGCACCGCCCTGCTGTGGCTCCTCCCCCTCACCTGGGCACCGCCCTCTGGGACTCCTCCCCCTAACGGGCTCCTCCCACTCTGGCTCCTCCCTCTCTCCTGTGGCTCCTCCCCCTCATCTGGGCCCCACCCTCCTCTGACTCCTCCCTCTCTCCTGTAGCTCCTCCCTCTCTCCTGTAGCTCCTCCCTTTCTCCTGGCCCCTCCCTCTCTCCTGTGGCCCCTCCCTCTCTCCTGTAACTCCTCCCTTTCTCCTGGCCCCTCCCTCCCTCCTGTGGCCCCTCCCTCTCTCCTGTGGCCCCTCCCTCTCTCCTGTAACTCCTCCCTTTCTCGGGTGCCCAAAATCCTGTGGCTCCTCCCTCTCACCTCCTTCTCACCTGGACCCCACCCTCACTTTGGCCCCGCCCTCTCACCTGGGCCCCTCCCCTGCCCGTGCCTCTCCCTGTCCCCAGTAGTGGCGTGTGCCAGCTGTGCCAGCTGTGCCAGCCGTGTGCCAGCTGTGTACCAAGTGTGTGCCAGCAGTGCCAGGTGTGTGCCAGGTGTGTCCCAGTGGTGCCAGCTGTGTGCCAGGTGTGCCAGCTGTGTGTCGTGTGCCAGCTGTGCCAGCTGTGCCAGGTGCCAGCTGTGTACCAAGTGTGTGCCAGTAGTGCCAGGTGTGTGTCAGTGATACCAGGTGTGTCCCAGTGGTGCCAGCTGTGTGCCAGGTGTGCCAGCTGTGTGTCAGGTGTGTGCCAGGTGTGTCAGCTGTGTGCCAGCGGTGTCAGCTGTGTGTCAGGTGTGTGCCAGGTGTGTGTCAGTGATACCAGGTGTGTCCCAGTGGTGCCAGCTGTGTGCCAGGTGTGTCAGCTGTGTGTCAGGTGTGTGCCAGCTGTGTGCCAGCTGTGTGCCAGCGGTGCCGGGTGCCAGCAGTGCCAGGTGCCAGGTGCGTGTGTCCCCAGCAAGGCGGCGCTGGGCAGGATGGGGCTCTACGAGTCGTTCGCGCAGGCCACGCAGCTGGGGGAGCTGCACACGTGCCTCATGATGGACATGAAGGCGTGCCAGGAGGACGACGTGCGCCTGCTCTGCTTCCTCACGCCCTCCATCTACACCGAGGTGTGCCCCAAGTGCCAGGGTGCCCAAATCCCTGTCACAGGGTGCCCAAATTCCTGTCACAGGGGTGCCCCGAGTGCCAGGGGTGCCCCAAACCCTGTCCCAGGGTGCCCAAATTCCTGTCCCAGGGGTGCTCAGAATGCCAGGGGTGCCCAAAATCCTGTCCCAGGGTGCCCAAATCCCTGTCCCAGGGTGCCCAAAATCCTGTCCCAGGGGTGCTCAGAATGCCAGGGGTGCCCCAGGTCCTGCTCCAGGTGTGCCCCAAATCCCATCCCAGGGGTGCCCCAAGCTCCATCCCAGCTGTGCTGCAGCAGAGAATCCCTGAGATTCTCTCTAAATTCAGAGAATTCCTAAAATTCTCCCAAAGTTCAGAAACCTGAAGCCGTGGAATGTGCAGCTGGATCCCTGCCCATCCTTGGGATCCATCCCGGGGCAGGGTCAGGCTGTCCCTGTGCTGATCCCAAATCCCAGGGCAGGATCCCACTGTCCTTGTGCTGATCCCAAATCCCAGGATCCATCCCAGGGCAGGGTCCCACTGTTCCCCACACCAATCCCAAATCCCGGGATCCATCCCAGGGCAGGATCCCACTGTTCCCCACACCAATCCCAAATCCCAGGATCCATCCCAGGGCAGGGTCCCACTGTTCCCACACCGATCCCAAATCCCAGGATCCATCCCAAGGCAGGGTCAGGCTGTTCCCACACCGATCCCAAATCCCAGGATCCATCCCGGGGCAGGATCCCACTGTTCCCACGCTGATCCCAAATCCCAGGATCCATCCCAGGGCAGGGTCCCACTGTTCCCACACCGATCCCAAATCCCAGGATCCATCCCGGGGCACATCCCTCTCCCTCGGAGCCGCCTCCCTCCGGCTCCTGCTGTGATTGATTTTGTGTTTCCTGCGGGGCCCCGGGGCAGGGAGCAGAGCCAGGAGCAGAGGGAAAAACAGGGAATTGCAGAGCCCGGCTGACGGCTGCCCCCCGCTGTCTGCCCGGCCTGTCCCTGGAGGTTTTGGGATTTTGGGAGGGCTCTCCTTGGTGTCCCTCCCTGAATCTGCCAGAGCTTTACCCAGGGAATCCCTGGAGATTTTGGGATGACTCTCCTTGGTGTCCCTCCCTTAACCTGCCCGACGTTTTCCCAGGGAATCCCTGGAATTTTTGGGATTTTGGGAGGGCTCTCCCCAGTGTCTCTCCCTGAGTCTCTTGGAGCATTTCCCAGGGAATCCCTGGAATTTTTGGGATTTTGGGATTTCGGGAGGGTTCTCCTCAGTGTCTCTCCCTGAATCTCTTGGAGCCTTTCCCAAGGGATCCCTGGAGTTTTTGGGATTTTGGGAGGGCTCTTCCTGGTGTTTCTCTCTGAATCTCTTAGAGCTTTTCCGGGGGGATCCCTGGAGTTTTTGGGATTTCGGGATGGCTCTCCCGGGCCCCCCCTGACCCTGCCTGGCTTTTTTGCATTCCCAGTTTCCCGATGAGACCCTGCGGAGCGGGGAGCTGCTCAACATGATCGTGGCTGTCATCGACTCCTTCCAGGTGGGGGGACCCTTCCCGGCCCTTCCCGACCCTTCCCGGACCCTTCCAGCCCCTTCCCGACCCTTCCCGACCCTTCCAGCCCCTTCCAGACCCTTCCAGACCCTTCCCGACCCTTCCCGACCCTTCCCAGCCCCTTCCCGACCCTTCCAGACCCTTCCCGGCCGATTTCATCCCAAAATGAGCCATCCAAGGGAACCAGCCCCAAATGTCCTCCTCGGTGTCCAAAGGTCGATCCCGAGCTTCCCGGGGATCTCCTGCAGAGCCATTTCCTGGGCAATCAGCGCTAATTACCCTAATGAGCCCCCGGGGATCCCGCTGGCTCTGCCTGGGGCTGGGCAGAGATCCTGCGGGATCTGCAGAGGGGCCGGGAGGAGGAGGAGGAGAGGCAGAGTGGGAATGGGGAGCTCCCCCGGGGATCCCAGGGGTGGAGCTGGCACTTTTCCCGCTGGATCCCATTTGGGGAAGCTCCTCAGAGCCCCCTGTCCCATTCCCTGTCCCCCCCAGGGATGGAGCTGGCACTTTTCCCACTGGATCCCATTTGGGAAGGTTCCTCAGAGCCCCCTAACCCCATTCCTTGTCCCATCCCAAGGATCCCAGGGGTGGAGCTGGCACTTTTCCCGCTGGATCCCATTTGGGGAAGCTCCTCAAACCCCCCTGACCCATTCCCTGTCCCCCCCAGCTCCAGGAGCTCGTGTGCCACGTGATGATGGGAAACCTCGTCATGTTCCGCAAGGATTCCGTGCTGAACATCCTCAGTGAGTGGGAATAACGGGATTGGGATGGGAGTGGGAGTGGGATTGGGGGTGGGAATAGGAATGGGAGTGAGGATGGGATTGGGATTGGGAGAGGGAATGGGATTGGGAGTAGGAACAGGAATAGGAGTGGGAATGGGACTGGGAATGGGGATGGGACTGAGAATGGGAATGGGATTGAGCAGGTCCCAGGCAGCCCCCAAATCCTGCCCCAAATCCAGAGGGAGATCCCTGCCCAGGGCTGAATTCCCTGCGGGCATTAAAGGGTCACTGCCCAGGATTGTGGGGTTTATCCCTGTGCCCCCAGGGTGCCAGGCAGGGATGGGAAATCCCAAAAGCTGCCCCCGCTCCACAGCCTCTCTGTGGGTCCCCAGAGCAAATCCCTGACCCAGCTTTGGGAGCCGTGGGATAATTAGGATAATTAGTGTTAATTAGGGAGCCTCGTTAGCTCTGTCCCCATTCCCAGTGCCGGGGGGGAGGGGGGACCTCGGGCAGGTTTGGGGTGCCCAGAGCTGGGGAAGGGGCTGGCACAGATCCCTGTTAACCCCATTGTCCCCATTGTCCATCCCCATTGTCCCTGTTAACCCCACTGTCCCCATTGTCCCCATTTTCCATCCCTGTTGTCCCCACTGTCCCCACTGCCCCTGCCATCCCTGTTGTCCCCATTATCCCTGCTGTCCCTGTTGTCCTTCTTGTCCCCATTGTCCCTCTTGTCTCTCTTGTCCTTGTTATCCCTGTTGTCCCCGCTCTCCCTGTTATCCATCCCTGCTGTCCCCTCTGTCCCTGCTGTCCCTGTCCCCGCGTCCCCTGTGTCCCCTGTGTCCCTGTCCCTGTGTCCCCCGTGTCCCCATGTCCCTGTGTCCGTGTCCGTGTCCCCGCAGTCCAGAGCCTGGACTGGGAGACCTTTGAGCAGTACTGCACGTGGCAGCTGTTCCTGGCACACAGCATCCCCCTGGAGACCATCATCCCCATCCTGCAGCACCTCAAGTACAAGGGTGAGGGGACACGGGGACACTGGGGACATGGGGACACTGTGGGGACACGGGGACACTGTGGGGACATCCCCTGGGGACACTGGGGACATCCCCTGGTGACTCCCTGGGGACAGTCCTGGGGACATTCCTGGGGGGACGTTGCCACGGGGGGACATTCCCGGGGTTTGGGGGGTGACATTCCCAGGGACATTCCTGGGGACACCCTGGGGACACCCAGGGACATTGCCACCTCCCTCCCCTGGCAGAGCACCCCGAGGCCCTGTCCTGCCTCCTGCTGCAGCTCCGCAGGGAAAAGTGAGTGGGGGGCACTGGGGGGGACCCCCAGGGGATCTGGGGACACCGAGGGGACTTGGGGACACCCAGGGGATCTGGGGGGCTCTGGGGTGTCCCCACGGGAGCACTGCCACACCCGGGCACTGCCAGAATCCCAGATGGGGGAGCTCCTGGGGGGTCTGGGGGGGACTCCAGGGGGGTCTCCTGTTGGTCCAGGGGGTCTCCTGGTGGTCTCCTGGGGCTCTGGGGGGATTCCAGGGGGATCTGGGGGTGCCTCCTGTGGGTCTGGGGGTTCTCCTGGTGGTCTCCTGTGGGTCTGGGGGGTCTCCAGGGGCTCCGGGGGATTGGTCTGCTGGTGCTCTGTGGGGTCTCCTGGTGGTCCGTGGGGTCTCCTGGGGCTCTGGGGGGATTCCAGGGGGGTCTGGGGGTTCTCCTGTTGGTCCATGGGGTCCCCTGGGGGGTCCCTGTGGCTCTGGGTGTCCCCTGGTGCTCCGTGGGGTCCCGAGGGGCTCTGGGGGTTCTCCTGGTGCTCCGTGGGGTCTCCTGGGTCCCCCCGGTGCCCCGTGCCCGCTGCCCGTGCCCGCGGTGCCAGGCCCAGCGAGGAGATGGTGAAGATGGTGCTGAGCCGGCCGTGCCACCCCGAGGACCAGTTCACCACCAGCATCCTGCGGCACTGGGGGCTGCGGCACGACGACCTGCTGGGCGAGCACATCAAGGCCCTGCTGATCAAGAACAACAGCCTGCCCCGCAAGAGGCAGAGGTTGGGAATTCTGGCCTTGGGAATTCCCTCCCTGGGGATTTGGGGTGCTTTTTTCTCTCCCCTGTACCCCGTTCCCACTGAATTCCCTTCCTAAGGAACTGGGGAGGTTTTTCTCCTCTGTACTCCCTTCCCTCCCTGAGGATTTGGGGTGGTTCTTGTCCCCTGCCCCAAAAATGCCAGAGGTCTGGGATCCCATCCCTGGGGGCCTCATCCCCATTTCTGTGTTCCCACTCCCATTTTCTGTGTTCCCACTCCCATTTTCTGTGTTCCCATCCCCATTTCTGTGTTCCCACTCCCATTTTCTGTGTTCCCATCCCCATTTCTTGGTTCCCATCCCCATTTTTGGTGTTCCCACTCCCATTTTCTGTGTTCCCATCCCCATTTCTTGGTTCCCATCCCCATTTTTGGTGTTCCCACCCCCATTTTCTGTGTTCCCACCCCCATTATTTGCATTCCCACCCCACTGCTGTGTTCTCACCCCGTTTTTGGGGTCCCTCCCCGCAGCCTCCGCAGCTCCAGCAGCAAGCTGGCCCAGCTGACCCTGGAGCAGATCCTGGAGCACCTGGACAACCTCCGCCTCAACCTCACCAACACCAAGCACAACTGTGGGTTCCCCCCGGCCCTGGGCTGCGGGTGCGGGCTCGGGGGGCTGCCCTGACCCCCTGCCCACCTTGTCCCCCTGCTCTCCCCCAGTTTTCAGCCAGACCCCGATCCTGCAGGCGCTGCAGCACGTCCAGGCCAGCTGCGACGAGGCCCACAAGATGAAGTGAGCCCCCCCTCCTCTTCCTCCCTTCCTAACGACCCCAGACCCCCCCTGAGCCCCTTTTCCCCCCTCCAGGTTCTCCGACCTCTTCTCCCTGGCCGAGGAATACGAGGATTCCTCCAGCAAACCCCCCAAGAGCCGCCGGAAAGCCACGGCGCTGGCCAGCCCCCGCAGCCGCAAGAACGCGGCGCAGCCCCCCAACAACGAGGAGGAGTCTGGCTCCAGCAGCGCCTCGGTGAGACCCCCACCCCCCATCCCGAGACCGCCCCCAGGGGGTCCCCGGATCGCCCTGACCCCCCCCTCTGTGGCTGCAGGAGGAGGAGGACACCAAACCCAAACCGGCCAAGAGGAAAAGGAAAGGCTCCTCCGCCGTGGGCTCGGACAGTGACTGAGGCTGGGACCCCCCCGGGACCCCTCGGGACCCCCCGGGACCCCCAGGACACCCTCGGGAACCCCCAGGACTCCCTGGGACCCCCAGGACTCCTCCAGGACCCCCTGGGACCCCCCAAGATCCCTTGGGACCCCCCAAACCTGTGCCAGCAAACCCGAAAGGGGGAAAGGGGAGACCCCCACCCCCATTTTCCTCTAGAAATGTAAATAAAGGGTGGAACCGAGTCGCTGCTCCAGGATGATTTGGGGAGGGGGATAAAGGGGGGGGTCCGGCCCCCCCATCCCGGGGTCCTGGGAGGGGGCAGCACCCGTGGCCAGCAGGATTTGGGTGGGGGTCCTGCCCTGCCCCCAGGCTCGCTCAGCGTTTTGCAGTGTTTTTAAAAAAGCAGCAATAAAAATTTCCTGTTTTGTACGGAACGGCCCCGGCTCGTGGGGGGGCGGGGGCCGTGTCCCCCCCCGGGGTGGCCGGGCAGGGACACGTGGCTGTCCCCGGGTGGTGGCACTGCCAACCCCCCCCGGGCCGGGGAGAATCTGGGACAGCGGGGAGGCCTCGGAGGGGGACAGGGGACAGGGAGGGGACAATGGGGGGGACAGGGCAGGGACAGAGGGGGGACAATGGGGCGGAGAGGGCTGGGACTGTGCGGTGGCACCGGGGCTGGGGGTGGTGACACCGGGGCTGGGGTGGTGACACCGGGGCTGGGTCGGTGGCACCGCGGCGGGCCCCACACGCTGCCGTGCCCCCAGACCTGTTCGGCTCGGTGGAGCCGCTGCTGCCCAGCCTGCGGGAGGACGGGGTGGCCGTGTGGGTGCTGGGCTCGGGGCCGTACCCCCCCGGCGTGGTGGCCCTGCAGGAGCTGCTGGACGCGGCCTCCGAGGAGCTGCGGCCCGAGGACGTCTGGGAGCCCGAGGACATGAACGACACCTGCCTCTACATCTTCACCTCGGGCACCACCGGTGGGGCCGGCACCGCGGCCGGGGGGCTCTGGGGGAGCGGGGCAGGGGGGCTCAGCTCTGCTTTCCCCTTCCAGGCCTCCCCAAAGCCGCCCGCGTGTCCCACCTCAAGTCCATCATGTGCCTGAGCTTCTACGAGCTGGTGGGAGCCTCCAGCAGCGACGTGGTGTACCTGGCACTGCCCCTCTACCACATGGCCGGCTCCCTGCTGGGCATCGTCGGCTGCCTCGGCATCGGTGAGCGGGGCCGGGCCCCTCTGGGGTTTTTTTGGGGTGGATCCCCTGTAGGAGTGTGCCCCCCTCGATGACAGAGTGACAAAACCGTGCTTTGTCACCCCAAAAATGAAGGAAGCCCAGAGGTTTCTCTCAATGATGAGGTGAAAAGCCACCTCGTGGGACCTCAGGGACTTCACCTAAAACTTGAGGGCAGCTGATGGGAGAGAAGCCAAAAAGTCCTGTCTGAGCCATCAGGTAGAAAAAGAAGAAAACAAAGGAGCTCAAGTGCTTTTGTGAGAGAACAAAAGAGCTCAAGTGCTTTTTGAGGTGTTTTTACCAGGAGCAGACCTGTGCACGCGGCTCGGGTTTTTCTGTTTGTTGTTTTGCTTTCTATTAAAACTTTTTGTTTCTAACAGCGCAGCAGAAGCCATCCTGATAAATTTATTAATTTTGGGGACCCAAAACAGCAGCTGAGCCATCCTTGGGTGTATTCCATATTAATCTGAGAGCTTATAAGGCCTGATTCAGAGAAAGAAAGTACAATAATATAATAATATTATATTTATAATATACAAATATAATTGATTATATATTTGTATATATTATAATTGATTATATATTTATATATATTGTATGTATAATTGATTATATATTTATATATATTATATTACATAATATTTATGTAATATATAAATACAATATCCATCCCCCAGGGGCCACGTGCGTGCTGAAGGAGAAGTTCTCAGCCAGCCACTTCTGGGACGATTGCCGCGCCGAGGGCGTCACCGTCTTCCAGTACATCGGCGAGCTGTGCCGCTACCTGGTGAACCAGCCCCCGGTGGGTCGGGGGGCCGGGCAGGGCCGGGCAGGGGTCCCGCGGGCACCCAGGGCTGACGGTGCCCCCGCAGCGCCCCGGGGAGCGGCAGCACGGGCTGCGGCTGGCGGTGGGCAGCGGGCTGCGGCCGGACGTGTGGCGCAGCTTCCAGCGGCGCTTCGGGCCCGTGCGCGTGGTGGAGACGTACGGCATGAGCGAGGGCAACGTCACCCTCTTCAACTACACGGGCACGCCGGGCGCCGTGGGCCGCTGCAGCTTCATCTACAAGGTTCGGGGGGCTGGCACGGGGCGGGGGCCGTGCCCCCAGCGCTGCCCGAGCCGCCCTGACCCCGCCGCCGTCCCCAGCTCTTCTCGCCCTTCGAGGTCGTTCGCTTCGACGTGGCGGCCGGGGCGCCAGAGCGCGACCGGGCCGGGCGCTGCATCCGCGCCCGCGCGGGTGAGGAGCGGGCATGGGGGGCTCAGAGCGGGCACGGGGGGCTCGNAGAGCGGGCACGGGGGGCTCGGAGTGGGTACGGGGGGCTCAGAGCGGGCACGGGGTGCTCAGAGCAGGCACAGGGGGCTCAGAGTGGGCACGGGGGCCTCGGGGGTGCCGCGGGGCGGGCTGGTCACCGCGCGGGCCCCCGCAGGCGAGACGGGGCTGCTGATCGCGCCGGTGACGCGGCGGACGCCGTTCCTGGGCTACGCCGGCAGCCCGGAGCTGTCGGAGCAGAAGCTGCTCCGCGGGGTCTTCGCCGAGGGCGACGCCTTCTTCAACACCGGGGACCTGGTGGAGCAGGACGAGCAGCAGTTCGTGCGCTTCCGCGACCGCACCGGGGACACCTTCCGGTGAGCCAGGCCCGGGAGGGGACACCCCCGCGGGAGGGGACACCCCCAGAGCAGATGGGGACACCCCAGAGCCATTCCCAGGATGGGGACACCCCCAGAGCCCCCCATGAGATGGGGACACCCCCAGAGCCCCTCCCTGCACGGCCAGGGGGACCCAGCCCTGTGGAATGTTCTGGGGGGGTCTCCCAGTTGAACATTTCGGGGGTCTCACCCCTGTCCCCTCCCAGGTGGAAAGGCGAGAACGTGGCCACCACCGAGGTGGCCGAGGCGCTGCTGGCCCACGAGTCCCTGCAGGAGGCCACCGTGTACGGCGTCCCCGTGCCAGGTACGGCCGGCCCCGCGCCCCCCGAGCCCCCCCCGGCCCGCGGTGTCCCCAAGTGTCCCCTCGCCCGCAGGGCA